TCACTGAGTATGAGAAGATCACAAAAAGAGATTTTGCTAAAAACATGTTTGACTCTTTGAGAATGACGCATGAAGGAAACACACAAGTCAAAGGGACCAAAGCTCTTGCGCTCATCCAGAAGTACGAAGCTTTCAAGATGGAAGAAGATGAAACATTGTCTTAAGTTTCAAATTCAGGTTGTTGGGTTGAAAGTTCTGGACAAAGGATACTCAATAACAAATCTTGTAAAGAAAATCATCAGAAGGTTACCAAATAAATGGAGACCCATGGTCATAGCCTTAAAGCTTGCCAAAGATCTGAGCAATATATCTCTTGAAGAACTTATCAACTCCTTGAGAAGTCACGGGATAGAACTAGAAGAAGATGACGAACTATCTCTTCTCTCCAGAAGGGTCCAGCAACTATGGAAGCACAGGCAAAATAAATTTAAAAATTCTAGGAGATCAAATGTTTGTAAATATCTGCTGGTTTTTGAGACAGAAATGCAGGAGTGGGTTAACTCTCTAAAGCAAGCTTGTGTGGATAATCGTAATATAGCTTCTTCTGATTCTCTCTAGACTCAGTTCAGAAAATGGTTTAATTTTGAATCTCTAAAGATGAAGGAACTTAGTTATGAAATTGCTCAACAAAACTTCTGCGATCATTTGAATATCTTCAAGGATCAAGTTCTATGTCTCTGGGTAAGGAAACTTCTTCGTCATCTAGACAACACTCCCTGGGAAGCTCCACAAGAATCAAAATTCCAGGAACCATCTCTTGAAACTCAACCTTAACCTCTGGTCGTTTTCGAAGACAAATGCAAGTTAGTTTAAGAATATCCCGAGAATGAATCTACTGCAGTAACTTACGAGAATATGGTTTCTACTGTTGAAACATCTTCATCTTCTATAGTGCCGAAAACTATGGAAGAGTTGAAGAAAGAGAATGAACCTGTTAGGGAAAGGCTGGATAAACAAGATGAAACCAACAAAGAGATTAAGGGGATGCTAGGAAAGCAAGAAGAATCAAACAATCATATCAAGAGTCTCTTGGAAGCATTGTTCACACGACTTCCACCTCCTTCACAACCTTAGATCTAGTCTTTTGCTTGTTTCTACTATGCTTTATGTTTAAACTTCTATTTGTCTGCTTCTGTTTGTATTAATCTCTTTTCTTAATAATATAACCTTTTTTGTTCTCTTTACATGTTTTTATGGCTTTTTGATTTATGACAAAAAGGGGGTGAACGTATGATATTTTGAATATAATAGTAACAGGACTAAGTCTCAAACATATTTGATAACATAACCTCTGTTTCACTTTTTGAAAAGCAAACAAGAAAAGTGTCCCTTGAAAGTAACTTCTGCCACATGGACTTATCAGAAATTCCCTCAAAAGCTTTGATTAAACATCTTCAGGGAAGTATCTATTTTTTTCTTTATCTGAGTATTCAACTCAGGGGGAGACCCCAATGTCTTATGTTCTTACTTGTTCATCAAAATATACAAGTTTTTGTCATTATCAAAAAGGAGAGATTGTTAGAACATAGTTTGGTTCTACATCTTAATAATAATTTTGATGATAACAAATACATGATATATATAAAGAACAATTATGCTCTTTAATAAATTATTTAAATATGTAGATATGTTATGATAAAGAAGCTGTAGCGGTAGAAATATTGAGACTAAGACATTGGATTGACTTGACTTGCACAGATCAGATAAAAATTGCCACCGTGCTTTATTGTTTCCAGAGAAATGGGAAAAGAGCGAATAACCCAAAAAAAGATGGGGAGAGAATCTATATACGGGGGTCGGTTATGCAAAAGGAGGATATTATCACCCTAAACATCTATGGTACTCTGCAGGAACCTCTTCGAAAATTTGTGTATTTTGGCTATAAGTGTTGTATACAAACAATAGAGGGTGGTGGAGATGAGAAAAGGAGTATTTTTTACAATCTTGCACTCGCTGCGGTTACGAACCTTTAGTGCCTACGTGCCATCTTCCGAGCAATAGGGGATCAGAGTACTCGTAGTTCACCTTTAAAAATTTTAAAATACAAGTGTATTGGTTAATTTTAAGAGACAAGACATCATCGTCATATCCGAGTGAAAGAACATACTTACTACCCATGATTATGAGAAAAGAGAATTTGTGACATCTCAAAGTGCAAGATATAGCTTGGATTTTAAAATCAACAAACCCTCACTCAACACCCAAATGGAAAATATCTCACTTCGCAACATATCGTAGAAGTATAGTAGCTCACATCACTACGAAGGTTGACAAGAGTCTAATCTTTTGAGAAAAGAGTATAAAGTAAAAAGTCAAAGTGGCAAAAATGATTTGAATGAGGTTGATTGACTTTTAGTCTTCTCACACAAAAATATCAAAGTATGATTAAATTGGTTAAAGTTTGATTAAGAAAATATTTTTGAAAATGCATGGACCTAAGTCCAAGTTTATTGTGAATGCAGTTCAAGTTAGAAAACAAGAAAATTTTGAAAATGAGGGGGAATATTTTTGAAATTAAAGATGATGGGAGGAGATGAATGGATTATCCTAAAACATGGGGCAAAAGCTAAGGAAGAGACAGATCTAACCAACAAGAATCCAACATTTGACATAAGAAAGTCAATGTAAAATTCACATCCTTTGGATTGAAACTAAGCAAGCAAAAATACTAAACCTCTGAGAAATATCAAGCTTTAGAGGAATTAAGTATTCTCAAAATTTGGCAGAGTAACAACTATATACAGAGGAATTCTCAATCACAGACAAATCATATGACCAAAATAGCCTGCACACAAAGAAAATCAACCCGATGTCTTGGGGTAAACCCCAAGAACTCCAGACAAAATAACAATAGTACCACAAGTTCCCAAGGATAATCAAGACTTCTAATACTAAATCCAAAAGGTTCACAGCTCCATAATGCAAAGGATGGTAACTAAATATTCCGAGTAACCTTAAGGTTTTTTATTGTTCAAGTTGGTTATTAATTGTCTTCAAAAAGAAAAAAATAAGCTCAAGTGAGGAGAAAAAATGGCATAGAATTTAAATGCTAAAATAAATGGTGCATAAAAGTAAAGACATAAAATAAAGGGCGTAAAGTAAAAGTACAAAGTAAACATAAGATAAAGTCAATTGTTGATGAATTAGAAGTTAGAAGTTAGTTGAATGATCATCTTGAAACTTTCATTTAAAAACTCATTAGAAGATTGTAATATCAAAGCTTCTAAACAAAAAGTTTCATTTTCTTTTTGTCAAGTATATCATTCTTTATTTCAAGTACTTAAGGCAACCACATATGATCAACGAAGTTCAAATGATTCACTTAGACCAAAATTCCTGAAGTTCATTAGAGGATTGATAAGATCAAAGCCTCCTAACAATGAACCTCAAAGTTATAGATCAAAGGTTTCAAATTAAACATATTTGGGCTTGCAAACATAGGTTTAGACCACGAATGATCATTTTTCGAATCGCGATAAATTTAGCGTTATGTTAAGCAATCGTAAGTAAACTTATGTAGAAGTCGCATCTATTTTGAGGTCGGTCAATAGCAATGTATATACTTTATAAGTTTTGAGATGTGATAGAAATCACACTCATGAAACTTATAGTACAAGAAAAATAAAAAATGAAAAAAGATAGAAAAGAAACAGATAAGAGCTAAATTTCATATTTGAACCAAAGAATGTAACGAAACTATCATTAAAATCATTCATTCATATTGGTGGAGTTCAACTCAACACCCAAGATTCAATGATGTTAATAAAACTTATGATCAAAATTCTATGGTTTAAGATCAACCAACATATATACAAAAAATAAAATTACATTTAATAAACAAAATAGAATAAGAAAATGATTTTTTAATTTGTTTTAAAACAAAAAAAAAAAGACAAAATAGCAAACTATATTCAAAATATCAAATGAAAATTAAAAGAGACCATAGAAAAATCAGAAATGATCTCAAATATTTTTTATAAAATTTGATAATAATTTTTCTAAAGCAGAAAAATAGTTCTAAACTATTTAAAATCACTCAAGTAAGTGAAAAATGATTAAAAAATATCAAAAAGTAAAATTAAATTCCGAAAAAATTATACAAAGTCATAAATGAAATAAGTGAATTGTTTGAATTTTTTAACAATTTTTGGATGAAAAATGAATTTAAAATGAATTTTTAAAGACTAAAATAAAAATAGTAAAAGAGAAATTAAACAGAGATAATATCAGCCTTTTGATCTAGTTAACATAGCGAAGTTATGCAAGAATACTGAACCAGAATTAAAGTAAACTGTAAAAAACACAGGATTCAAGTGGCACTTGTGGCCAACTTATTGACCGGCGCATATCTCAATGTGAAAGAAGGAGAAGACAAAAACAAAACAGCAATCAATTGCTGTGACGTTGGGAACAAACAATTAATTTTGTTTATCCTTTTTTAAAGTATCATCCTCACATTTTTCTTTCAAAGATTGTATATCATCTTTTATTTAAAAAAATTATCTCTCTTTCTTTTAAATCATCATCACATTTTTTCTTTCATTTCAACACCATCGTCATTTTTGTTAAACAAAATATCAAAACAAAAACTAAAAAAGAATAAAGAGAAATAGAGACCATCCGGTAAAGAAAACATGGGAGGCGGACTCGCGGTGGCCGGTGATGGAGTCGCGCCGGCGCCACCATGAGGGAACTCCAAAACAATTTTTTTATAGTTTTTGAATCGTATTCTTTTCCTCGTCTCAAATATCAACTTAAAATTTTCAGAAAATTAAAGAGGGAGACAAGATCTACAACAACAACAACAATCATAGAAATGTAAAGAGAAGGGTAGATTAAGCTCTATTGAGGGATTATCAACCTTATCTGGTGAACACAAGGCAGAACGATGATGGTCAGAGCGGATTCCCGACGAGGAGGGTGATTTCGGCGACATAGGGTATCTCAGGGGCGGCGTTTTTCCGGAAAAGCAGTGAATTCCGACGATGGTTCTGAGTTGCTCAAGTGAGATGATGTTTGTTTGATTCCGAATTTGTATATTTTTCCGTCAAAAATATAATATTTTGAATTAGTGTCAGATTATAGTTTATATACTGCTTTGGATTAGGGCTTTGTATGAACAAACTTGTGTTGAGATCCAAATCACTGAAATGTCTTTCTCCTCTTTTCTTGAAAGCCCAGTCCGAAATTTCTTCGTTCAATCCACCAATCCCTTTTCGTTTCAACATTTGTGATATTTATTTTTGTTAACTTGGGCCCTGAATATATCTGGATGTGGTATCTATACATTTTGTATGTGCAGCATGGAAACGGTATGCTGAAGGACGCCGCAATATATATCTTAACCTTCTGTAATTTTATTTACTATTTGCACCGATTTCTTCATCATACTGATAATGTGACCTAAGATTATAGATCACCACTCTTAAACATAGGTTTTTTTAGGAACCATATTTGGCCTGAACAAACCACAACCTTAATCGGAGAACCATCGCTTGGACTCCTTAATCCGAAACCCTGTCCTCTAAAGAAACAAAATAAACAAGACATATATTCTTGAATTTTGGTTAGAAGTCAGTAAAAATAAAACATATATACACAAGACACAATTCAAGGTGCTTGGTGATCCTCAAGAGAAAACTTAAAGATAGGATTAAGTAGAAAGTTAAAACCAACCCTAATGTGTGATCTTGGTGTATGGATAATATGAGATGATGATAAATCTTAGGGGTAAAAATTGGGGTATAATAGCTGCCCTTGTTTATGTGTCTTCTATCCGGAGATACGAATGTTAAAATCTTCGTCTCGACGCGATTGAAGATACTTAAATATAAAACAACCCATATTTTTGGCCCTAAGATGCCATGCAATGCTTATGATTGTGCATGCAAAACGACAAACTCCAAAGGCGACACAGAACACCACTGGGGATGCGGGAAATAAAATAAAGGATCAAAAGAAAACCCGACCAACAAAATAAATCGCTGGTGAACAGAATACTCAACTCTACTGAGGTAAATCCCAATTAAGAGATAAGGCAACATCAACTCAAAAATTAAGGAAAAAGTAATGGATGACAAAGATCGACAGATAACTGCGAACTACCTACTCACAGAGAAGATAGCAAAAAAGTAACATTGACTCACAGGGAATAGAAATGGTAAGATAATACTGATAAATACTAATATTAGTGAATCTCAACGACGAACTATCTCCCATAATAACGAGACTACCATCCATCTGAGTAACAAATCTCAAACAATGAACTATCTCCCATAATGATGAGACTGCCATTCATCGGAGTAACATATCTCAACAATGAATTATCTCCCATAATGACGAGACTACCATACATCAGAGTAACAAATCTCAATAACGAACTATCTCCCATAATGACGAGACTACCATTCATCGGAGTAACAAATCTCAATAACGAACTATCTCCCATAATGACGAGACTATCATTCATCAGAGTAACAAATCTCAACAACAAACTATATCCCATAATGATGAGACTACCATTCATCGGAGTAACAAATCTCAACAACGAACTATCTCCCGTAATGATGAGATTACCATTCATCGGAGTAACAAATCTCAACAACAAACTATCTCCCATAATGGTGAGACTACCATTCTTCGGAGTAACAAATATCAACAATGAACTATCTCCCATAATGACGAGACGACCATTCATTGGAGTAACAAATCTTCTCTGGCATTAACAGACTTATTTGGGAAGAAAAGGTTGCTCAAATAAAGAGACTTGTCACTTGCTATTTACAAAGAGGATTGTGATAAATCTGCGGGGAAATGAATCTTGTCTTTCTTGGGAAATGCCAATACATTCCTACTGAGGAGATAAATTCTTCTCGTGCAAAATAAATGCGCACTCTTAAACCAGGGCTCAAAGCCTGCAGAAATCATAATAATAATATTATCAGGGACCACAGATTCAAAGCAGAAATAAACTGGAGTGAAACAATTAATCCAGACAACACCCAATAAAGGGATCACATTCCATCCAGATAATGAGCTGAATAGGAAAGCTAAAACAAAATTCTTCTAAGAAGGATAACTTTGTGGGGAAATTGAAAGGATATACGCTTTTTGCTTAAGGTTGACAGTTTATTGGAGAGAGGGTAACATAACTCTGCAAATAGGGTAATATGCCAACAAAAATATTAATGAATGCAAATGAGAAATGAATTTTTAATTAAGCTATGCATGATGTATGTAAAAACGTATGAATGTTATCATGTATATGCTGGCAAAACATGAAAACTATACTGGGAATAACCAGACAAAACCAACTTGGTTAAAATCAACACTCGGCTAAAACACATCCAAGATTAAGACTCCATAAGTGAGTAAGCACCAAGTGAAGAAACAAATTCCTACTTCACGACTTAACTCTACTGGGAAGAAACATGGCTTGAAAATAATCAAGGCATAATCTAATAGTGATAAACCAATACAGTTGTAGGGATATAACATCCTCCTCGAAGCTTCACTGGGGAACATCATACAGAATTTGCTAGGAAAGACAGTGTGTTTTACCCCAAAATTTTCCCTCTCACTTATCAATAATTTACTCACAAGATCTCTTTGACTTAAGACTGCATTAGGGTTTGACCAGCTCAAGACACCTCCTCATGCACTGATGACCAAAACTAGGGTTTGAGTTTGCACAAGGATTTTTGGACTATCAATGCTTCATATGAATTTCAATGATCGTTATGGACCCCCAAGATTACTCATGTCAAGTTTCAAGCCTTGAATCACACTTTTGATCAGTCAATTGGATAGTTGACCTAAAAATCAGCTGTATTGGGGAAAAAGTCAACTGTGTCTAATTTTCAGTAAAAACTTCATAATATTTTATCCATATAAACATATTAGACTCATATGTATCATTTGATCAAGTTTGGATCACAATTCCCCAAGAAATTTGATCAAATCATCAAAAGGGCAAAATGGTCAAAATTAGGGTTTTGACTGAGAAGGGGCAATTTCTTATTTTTGACCTAGAAAATGATCAATTGGTTTGAAGCATGATTTCAAGAGTTCAATTGCATTATCTTGACCTAATGACATGATTCAAAACATTACAAATTCATTGGATTGACAGATGAATTTTTCAGTCAACTGATCAAAAGTCAACTGTATACTGAAAAGTCAAACCTTGACTTTTTGGTCAAATTCAAGTGCCAAGGATCACAATTTATCAAAACATGTCAAAGTGTGAAACTTTTTCATCAAGAAATCAAGGATTGAAGATCTTGTTTTGAAATTTGAAATTTCTTAACTTAGAAATTTTTCTAAGTATAGAAAATTTCTTATTTTTTCCCAACTTTAGGCCAAATTTTCACCATGATACAAAATGTTTAAAATGAAGTTCCCAACATGAAAGTTGTATATATCCATGAAATATACAACTTTTCTGCACACAACTCAAATAACTTAGTGAAATTTTGCCCTAGATAGGCAGGTTTTTGACCTAACTTCATGGTAACTTTTCACCTAGTTCTAAGAGGAATTTTCAAAATCATTTCAAATATGGGTTGTAGAGCACATTACAAGATTTCCAAAATGTCCAAGAACTCCTTGAGATCGTTCTTTAGTAGGGAGAATCGAAGAGATGAAGTTAGGGTTTTATCACTTTGATTATAGGTCATTTTCATGAAGAACAAGTTTTCAAATTTGCAAATTGGTTGTACAATCTTCACTTTTCAGGCCTCAAATTCGTTTGTCACTCCATCATTAATGGATTGCACAAGGTTTCATGCCCTAAAGCCAAGCATTCAATGCATTGTACAAGAAAATAGCCATTTTTGGAAGAAAGGCAACATTGCCATTTTGGAAAAGCATGTTTTTTGCATTTTTTCATTTCTTGAGCCTTGGACTTGTTCTTTCTTCATAAACCAAGTCTATAAACCTGAACAAAACATGTTTAAAGCTTCAAGCCACCCTACAAGATCAGAATCATGCCATAAGAAGTCACTTCTCACACTTGTTTCAAAAACAAGAAATGTAGCAAGACATGTGATCTTGTACTTCTGAGAAAGCACAAGTCCTCCAACCTTTTGCTCTATATAAAGCCATCATTTTGCAACTAAAACCAAGGATTCCCAAGCCTTGAAACACCCTAGAATCAGAATTTGCATACCAAGCCTCCAAACTTGTCATTTCTGACTTGTGAACTGAATCTTCCATTTCACTCGTGCGTTTTCAGGCCTTTTGCTTTCCCAAGCTTCCTTACCTTACAAGTAAACCAACCCACACCCTGAAACATCACTATAACTCCATATTCCCCATTGTTGAAGTTCAAAAATAGAGTAACACATGTGGACTTCTCTAGACCATTCCAGCCACCCTCAAGACAAGCTAAGCATTGCATTAGCTTCCTAGAGGTTCAAGGAAGCTAACCTGATCATCACAGCATCCTAAAGCAAGCTCATTTTCAAAACATGATTTCCATTTTCAAGGTGAGTTTTCTATTTTTCTAACTCTTAATACAGGCATAGTTAGCTTTACATTTGAGAATATAGAATGTAGACATCATTGCTACGAAGCTGTACATATCCATAGCTTGCATTTATTTGGCTTGAGTTTAGAGAATTTTAAGTTTGAAGTTTCTGAAAAAATTAGGTTAAGAATTAGGGGCCAACAAAATTCTCTTTGATCTTGGACTTATAGTTTTAGTTATGCACATGGTTAGAATCGTGAGGTAAAATGCTATAATGTTCATGTTATCACTTTCCATTTTTGTTGAGAAATGAAAAAGTTACAGGGGGTCCGGCTGGCTAGAGGTTGAAGATGAAGTACAGGGAAAGTCAATGTTTTGTGTTATGTATTTGTGTTTTCACTTAGACTAACGAATGTACAGCCACCTCAGTGGTAAGGCAGCGCGCAAAAATGCCATAGGTCGTGGGTTCGAGCCTTGGCGCTGCCTTTTGCTATTTTTCCACTCTTTTTTTGTTGTTTTGCAGCATGGGCTTCAGTTCTTGGGCCTCTTGTTTTTTTGCTAATATGCTACTTCTAGTTTACTCATGACACCCCTGGCCCATATGTTTTATTTACTTATTTTATTTTTATTTTTATTTTATCAAATATATTTTCTTAATCATAAAAAAAAATTAAAAAATGATAAATATTATATTTTGTTTTATTTTATTTTTATTTTCTCATAAAAAATATTTATTTATTTTTATTTATTTTATTTAAG